TATCTATCTATCTCTCATTCTCTTCCACCAACCCTTTCCTAACACTTCATACACTCACAGAAATACGCACTCTTTGGAAAGAAAAAAAAGTGGGGGGCCGGAGTGGGTCACGGTGACGTTAGTTGTGTCTAAAGGGTAGATAGTGCTGAGCCCTTTTGAGACATCCTCATACTTAAAAGTTACTTGATTCATTCCCTATTGCCTCTGCTTTGTCGTCTGAAATTTCGGAGTTAACATTCGGGCTTTCAGCCCTTCTTTTCTCTTTGATACCATCCAAAGACATTTGTATGATATTGGAGACTAATTCAGGCTTAGCTGGTTTCTTCCCTGTCTTGTTGTCGCTCTTTGCTGGAGCAGAATGCGAAGCTCCTTTTTTCGGACGTGAATCTGATTCTCTTTTTGTTCCATGTAACAATTTTCGGGCCACAGGACTACTTTCGGTGTGCCCGTCTTTTATCGAGTTCGTTGATTTTGTTAGTCGTGGCTCTTCGACATGAACACTTTTTGCCTGCGAGTCTATCTCCTTTTTCGACGTTGGTGCTTTCGATTCGAAAGAATGGTTACTGGACTCTTTTTTGTCTCGTAAGCTCATTGATTCCGGTTGTTCTGTTGCATCAGTAGAGATGCCCAATTCATGGAAAAACTGCTGCTCTTCCTGACTGAGATGAGCTTGCTCCTGGTGATGAGGTTGTTGTTTTGAGCTTTTGTTGGGTTTTACAGACTGTGTGTGGGAGTCATGACTGGAGTTGTCTTTCGGTTGTCGCTTCTTCTTCCGTATTTTTATCGAATGTTCATGTTTAGAAGGGTCATTTGCGTTGTCTATAGACGAAGTTTTGGAAGAGTCTTGAACCCTATGCTCTGTCGTCTCTCTTCCCCGTACTGGTGCGGTTTCAGGCTGGGTGTCTTTGGGGTGTCTGCTCCCTAAAGCAGTCCCACTTTCCACGTCTTTGGGTTGCCTCAATATGGTGGAGCTGTTCGTATCAGGCTCTCGCTGCGGTTTGGGCGAATGGTCGGCAGGGGAACTGTGAAACTTTCGACTCTTGTCCATCCGAATCCTGGTCAGCTCTTCGTCCAGCATTTCCTGATGAAATTGATATAGATCATTTTTTATGGTTAGACGCTCTTCGCCGTCTCCAGGTTTAACAGTAACGCCTGTCTCGTCATGACAACTGTCGGCAGCCGTTCCCGACGTCGGACGTAACTGTTTTTTCTCATAGATCACAGGAGAAGCAGTTGGGTTACTATTCTGTTGATCTTTTTCTTCAATAATTTTCTCAGGAGAAGGAAGAGATTTCGCTGGTGAAGACGAGTCTCCGGATAATTTGCTGGGCTTCCTGGATTTCGTGTCGCCTGTGACCGAGTTTACCCCTTCATCGCGTATTACATTGTCGTAGACGATGTCGTAAGGGTTGTAGATTAGCGCGTCGTCATAGACCTCCTCAGAGTCATGAAAAACGCCAGAACGCCTGTTGTCGAGCGCGTTGTCAGTGGAATAGGTATCCTGTTGTGGTGGCTGTGATTCACCTAAACAGACGAAGTTAGCGCGTGGGATGATACTGAGCCTGGTGTTAGATACGGGCTCTTCTGGTAAACGCGGAAATGTCAGGTCGTTATCGTAGATGTCGCCTTCACTGGATCGACGTCCCCGACAAGTCACGTGACGAAACCAGGAGGACAACATAGATCGGATGCCACCAAATTTGGTTTCTTTTAAGTCTTTCCGCCTCCTGTTTGTTTTGAAATAACAAAGACAAAGTGTTGTTGTGCTTAAGAAAATTCATAGTAAGGGGGCTCTTTGATCTTAAGATCACACAAGTTTACAACTGAATACCAGGATCGTGATGTTACTTAAAACAGTTTTTTTTTCTTTTTTATCTTTCAGGCTTTTCTAAAAATTATCTTTCTTTTGTCGCAACATTAATAAATGAGCAGTATGTGGTCACATATGTGCCCTTTAAAGACATTATACTGGAAAAATCAATGTTTATAAAGCTGTAAAAATGTACTACCAAGATTACAAAGTCTTTTAAAAGAGAAAAAATACTTTTTCATTCTCTTAAACATTTTACCTACTTGACGAAGCTTCTCTTGCTTTTTCCAAAATTCAAAAATTGACTTTAAACCACACATTTCACGAGTATGTGCAATTGATAACACATATTATCAAAATTTAGACACTTCATTTTTTCAAATAAAAATGTTGGCCTTGATATGCTGCTGCTTAAAAAATAAATGGTACCACGTTCTGCTTGGATATAAAATATGTGTCACGAGGTGGAGGATTCAGGCGCTCATCAATTTTTGGGCATGAGGAGTTATATGTTTCATTTTAAAGCTTTTTTAGTTTTCTTGCTTTCAGTGAAAAAATGCACATCTGTCTTCAATATGAGTCAATATATTTGAGATTGAAGAAGGTAGGATCACTTGGTTTCAAAGGTAGAATTAGCGAGAAAATGGCCACAAAAGTTTGGTTATTACCATAGCTTGATAGTCCGAGAAAACTGAAAACGTACATTTTTTGTTCCTTTAATCAAAGTTTTAGAGTAAATATCCCTCCAGAAATGTGTTCTTAACTCGACAACAAAGGTGTTAAGCCAAAAAAAAAATTTTTTTTAAATAAATTCAATAAAAATTACCAAACTGGTAGAAAATGACAGTATCTTCAATTTCATTCTTTTGATGAGCGCCTGTTTCACCACGCCGCCTTTCTTAAATAATATAGCTTTTCAGTCTTTACACTTTTACTTTCACGTGAGAAATACGAGGTACTATAAAAAAAGTAGGTCATGTTTTAAAAATTACATTTTGACAGCACCAACTTTAAAAAAACCGAGAAAACTGACATCTGTTTGCCTTCCATGTGGCGGATTTTTGTATTCTTCGTGCTCTATTATTATTTATTATTATTATTATTATTATTATTATTATTATTATTATTATTATTATTATTATTATTATTATTATTATTAAAATCTTTCTTCTTTTTCTTCTCCTTCTTCTTCTTCTTCTTCTTCTTCTTCTTAGTATTATCATTATTATTATTATTACTATTATTATTATAACTATTATTATTATTAATATTATTTTTGATATGATTAGGTCTGGGTTTACACTAAATCTGCATCAACATTTGAATTTGGCTGTGTTTGAATATAATTGCGATCCAAGAAAGACAGTAGGATTAATTTTTACTTCAGAGAAATTGAGCCATTGGCATGCTCCATGCTGTTTCTGCTGTTGCCAGGAAAGTTGACGTCAGTTTTTCTGTGGACATTGAGTGTCCTGGTAACAATGCCATTTTCCTATTTTTTTGACGTTCGAGATGTGAACACTTGCTGTAGCATCAAAAATGCTGTTCGCATAACATAACTTTTTTTGTAGAATACATAATATTACTCATCATCATCATCATCATCATCATCATCATCATCATCATCATCATCATCATCAGCATCATCAGCATTATCATCATCATCATCCTCATCATCCTCATCATCATCATCATCAACATCATCATCTTTGTTATGATAAACTTTTGCTCACCTGAAAATAAAAATACCCAGAATCAACGCAACGACGAAGAGAGCCAACAGAACAACGACCAGGATAACGACAGTGCTAGAAGAGTCGGAGCCCCCAGTGTCTCCTGAAACAGACAGGTTAAAAATAATTGGGGGGGGGGGATAATAATAATCAGAATAACAAGAATCATATTAAGACTAATCAGAATAGCAATAATCAGATAAACCACTGCACTGCCAGGCCCGAGAACTGAGTTATACAGAAGGTCGAAGAGTAAAAGTTCATCCCCTGCGTTTCATAAATCTCCCTTTATCAGACATTTTTTTAAATCATTAAAAGGTTACTTTTTTGTTTGCAGTAAGGGGCGTGGTTACGTCGTTGTCCCTTCTCAGCCGTTAACACAATCAACCCCAGAATGAAAGCGACAGTGAGCAGATCTCGCGAAGACCTCTGTATAATTGATAAAACTCTGCCCTCCCCTTCACACTCTCACTCTCTTAAAATGTTTTCTCTCAGCCACTCGAAATTGGTGGATTAGATGAAGAAAAATAATGGGGATGGGATTCTGGTAGGGGTAGGGTATGGGAGGAGGGATGAGGGAAATTGGGGTTGGGTAGGGTATGGGGTGTGGAGTTTTGGTAGGTTGGGGTTTATTTGCTCTGGGTCAGAGGTATATCGCCATTTCCCAGCTTTCCCACAGGCAGACAGGGACATCAAGCCACATAGAATCATGTGCTTTTACGACTGGTGATAGAAATATTTATATGTAACCAAGGAATTAGCTTCTTCTTTTAGTCCAACCAGAGAGCCCTAGGCAGTCTCGAGCCATGCAGTAAATGGGTTAATAATAAGAAGAATTACAATAACCACAAGAAGAAGAAGAAGAAGAAGAAGAAGAAGAAGAAGAAGAAGAAGAAGAAGAAGAAGAAGAAGAAGAAGAAGAAGAAGAAGAAGAAGAAGAAAA